CGGGCGCGCCAAGCGCGGGCGCGCTCCCCCCCCCACCCCGCCTCGCTGAGGCGGCAGCGGCGCCGCTGGTTGAAACGAGGCGGCGCGAAGGGGAACTTTATTCTTTACAAAAATAATTAAAAGTTATAAAGGTCCACAGACGGGAACAGGGCTTCCGCATAGGGCCAGGGACCCGCCTCTAGCCCCAACAGCTCTTCCCACCCCCACGGCACTAACCACGGCAAACGTAGAAGCCACAAAACACACAAATGGCTCTGAAGTTCAGTCCTGTGCTCCTAGTTCGGTTTGCAAGAGCCAAACATTTGATCCTTCAAGCACGGCAGTACATCTTACAGGCACTACTTTACTAGTAATTGCAGAAACTAACCCCAGTAATGGGTTTTCCTCAGCAAAACTTCAGAACTCGGAGTTGTGAGGTCAACAAGCAGTGGCCGTTCCAAGGGGAAGGGGGGCTCAGGCCAGAGAGTTTATTTGCCACAGCCTTTATTGCCTCAGGGAATAGCTCTAGGGATGAGGATCCTAGGATTAAATGTGTAACCGCACATATTACAGACAATAACCATGACAAGTGTACACACAAAGCCAAAAAACCTAATGCCTTTATTTGACTATAAATGCAACAAGACTGAAAGCTTCTTCATAGTTGTGAACGTGAGCAACATCACCCTACTAAATGCAAAATGCCCCGTTGAAACGAGCTAATCATGGGCTGAAGGAGATCAGTCTGACAAGGTATCGCCAGGGAGCAGAGCAGTTTCCGCAAATGAGTGTTTAACCACTCCAACAAAACTGCTACGCTGCAAAACAAATATTTTCTCCAGTCCTGATTGCAGTACAAACACCATCCTAAATCCAATCCAGTTTGTATTCAAAAACAAGACACACGTTCTACTTCTAAAGTATTGCATCATTAGAGCGATTGTATGGCCTCAGTCTACAGAGTGAGCAGGATTAAACAGATCTCCAATGGCCACTTTGGAAGGTAAAAAATACCACAAAGTAATTATCAAAACATCTATTTCCTACAATACATCAGTCTTACCACTGTGCAGGAAGATATAAACAACTGCCAATCTCTGCCCATGCAATAATAAAAAAACCCACGAAATAGAGTGGCAGAAAAGGAGAAACTATCACAGCATGCATCTTTCTTTTGTCCATTTTCCTTATATGCAATTATAGGGATGAGTATAAAGAATCAGTTTTAGTATTCATTTGAACAAAGCATGATACCAAAGAACACTTCCACAAAGTCATTTTTATAATGGCAGCAGAACTAATATATAACGAAGGAGAATTTACATGAATTCAGTGTGAGAAGGGCCATTCTTGAAAGTTTTATAGAAATATCAGTCAAGAATACATGCAGATAAAGTAAACACGATTAAATTACTTCACCATGGAGAGACGTTAAAACATGGGAAGTGCACATTGTACTTGCTGTACTAGCAGTTGTTCCATTATTCATCTTTTTAAGTTAGGAAATCTGTTGTTTTGGGTGTGTCAACTGCATCAGTATCTTATATTTCCCAAAATGGTGCGTTTTCTTCAATAAGCACTTGTATCATTTCTCCTCAAGGGGAAGGAGTAAGAAACAGAACTCTTGCCTCTGTGAAATATCCTCTTTCTAGAAACCACGCACTAAAATATTACATGCCTAATGCTGCTCCGTGTCAAACCTGCAGTACTTTGGCTTACTACTAGTTAATTAGATATTTAATTAATTTGTATTTATGTACTGGAATCTGTAGGAAATCCCAGAAATAGAGCTGTATATCCATTCTGATGGCAGAGAATCATGCATAAACACTGAGGACATCCTTCTGCTATTAAGCCGATACATTTTTGCTTTTGGAAATGTGCAGTTTTCCATGCTTTCCAAGAGGCAAACTAATTAGAGAACCATTTTTGAAGTTTTAAACACCTCAAAAGTCTGCCTTTCAACCCAGGCAATGATCAGAATCTGAAAGCTTCTGTGCAGGGCAGTCAACTCCCTTTGTTTTAACAGATGATGTATACAGAATAAATACAATAAAGGTAGCAAAAAAAGCAAGTGGTATCTTTTATGCAACAACTTAAAAGCAGTACATTAAGGAAGAGAAAAAGAGGCTGTTCTTGTAAGTCTTCCAGTAACGAGAAAGGCAAAGATCCGCTACCTTTCAAAGTGAAGCAGATTACAGGAAAACAGAGCTAGACAATCACAAGGATATTTATCCTTCTGCCTTCCCCCAAAAGTAGAAATGTAATGCAAAATAGACTTTGGTTTCCACCAAATCTACCAAGATTATTAAATGCATAACTACCAAAAAACTGAACTTGCCTCAGTCCACAGCATTTTGCAAATAATATTAGTAATGACAAAGCAAATCAAACATTAATGCTTACAGTGATGAAAAAAGTTCTGTTTTTCCCCATAAGAATCTTTAGGGTATAAACTCAAGGCAAATCTAACACTGTGACCTTAAGTAAACATAATACAACAAAATAAACACAGGGTAATCGACCACAACCAGAAAAAAGCCTTCTTCAGACATCCAGGCTTAGGAACAATTTTTGACTTCTTCAGGGAAAGTCCACTAAAGCTAATGGAATTACTCACACTGGAAATGTAAGCAGATGCTTAACGTGCTTAACTTTTGCAGGAGCAACTTGTATCTTCCTACTATAAAATACAAAATAAAAGAGCACTTTATTTATGCTTATAACAACCTGTTGTCTTTCAGAAGAGAGGTAATTATTACAATTAAGCTTGTTTTAATTGTTACAGACTTGTAACCCTGAGTTTCTAAAAGGCAGTGTTTTTGTTTTTTGTTGCACTCTTATATGAAAAAAAAGAAAAAAAGAAATATTCCTCTGACTCCTTTATCACCATAGATTTTCAGTGGTTTTTACCTGTGAGCAATTAACAATATTTATTTAATTCCTCTGCTTTACACAACACATCTATATATTTATCTATTTTCATTTCAATACTCACCCAACTCACATACAACATCTTCATGGAGAAAAAAAAATGGCTTTTCCTTGCTAGCCTTGTAGTCAGAAAGAGCTCATCATTATCTGGGGGCATGGAACCATTTCATAGCTTACTTGTTCATCAAAATAAATCATTTACTGGGAGAGGGGGCTCCTCCTTCCAGATTTATAATACAAACACATGATAGAGGATATAGTACAGTCACAAACATCGAGGAATATCAGTTAAGGACCAAGTTCATTCCACACCAAGCAAGCAGAATGAAGTGTTCTTATGTTATTTTGGTGAAAAAAGGAATCATTTTCCTACAAAACACTGAAGACATTTTGTGGTATAGGCTTGTATATTATTTTCAGTCAAGAAAAGATTACAAAGCCTGTATTTTCACATTATATGACACTAGGTCCCCTGTTCAGTATATTGGTTTCTCAGTAAATCAACTTACTAGATTCTTCCCATTGTTTTCTCTCTGTTTCAAGTCCCAATCTTGACTTGCTGTGGACTCAAAAGAACCAAATCATTCACGACTGCTGAGGAAATAACCACTTTCAGAGAGATCCTTTGAGTTATTCTATTTTGGAAGAATAAATGCCCACATCAATCATATGGTTTCAAATCCTTGGAAATTAGCGGCTCGGTATCCTCAGTCGCACTTTCTGCTGGTTGCGTGGCTGCAACTGCCAGGCTTTGTATGGTTTCTTGCTGATGCTGCTTTGCCTTGTTATATAGCAAGACTCCAACTGTCACTAAAACAGTCCCAATGGCTGAGAGGCTGGTGATTTTGTTACCAAACACAATAATACTTAGCCAGATTGATAGTGCATGCTTCACAGTACTAGCAACACTGGAAAGGAATATAAAAGTTAGGGCCTAGTAAAACTTTCTCATATCTTCTTTATGCTGTAATGTAGTGGGATCTTTGATTTGTTTGTTTTTAAGCACTAAATACAATTTCACTCTTCCTACTTGAGCTAACACCATAACCAAAGTGGGTTTTGGTGGATCTGACAAGTTTCCTTCTTGCATTTGTGCATTTACATTATTTATTCAGACAACATCTTTATTAACTAGCTCCTAAGCAGGAATATTAGGAAAAAATAAGAGTGATCCTGTCAACATTTTTACCTGAAAGTCACGGGAGAAATTTTTCCCATCAAGGCATAGGCTGTAACACTTTGCAGGTGGAACAAGACTCCATCTATTAAGAGAAGTACAACGACATCTTGATTGTAGCTGAAGCTCCTTCCACTTTTCCCAATTACTGGCACATCCTAAATGGGGGGGCAGGAAAGTTAATACTCCTGCATAACATGTGAATATAAGCAAAAAGTCAGCAAGTATTTAGCATTCGTTTTTAAGTCTTGATCTGAAACTTTAAATGCACCAATTCAGACAAATTTATATATTTTTTCCCTCTCTAAAATCTTGAAATAGAAATCACACTGAGTCAGTTGTTAGATCAAGTCTACACTAAACTATTCCTTTCAGCATATTTTTTTCCAATTTCTTGCAAACAGAAGATGAACTGCATTTTAAAGAACAGGAAAGAAAACTAAAAGTTACCTAAATGCTCACAAGTCAATAAGAAAATACACATCAGTTTTAACAAATTCAAATTACCATGAAAAAAATCCAAGCCGGAATAAGCATAACCACTGCGGCAGCGCTGGTATAGAACTGAAGCTCTGGAGCTCTACAAAGGACAAACACAAAAAATTAGGAATTGTTTTCGCTTTCTTAGACCTAAGAAAGCTGCCTCAAATTTAAATCTCATTATTGCATTTACAGACATCAAAAAGTAATATAGAAAAACCATCTACCAAGCCTTGGAGGCAATAAATTCAACAATCTCTTGGAAGGACAGCATTTTGCTTTCCAGGTTGCCTGGGTTGTATTTAATACAGAAAGTAAAGTTTTCAATAGCATGTGTTAAGGTAGTTAGAATTAAGTGAAATATCATAGTCCAAGCTAATCACAACTATTGCATGTTTTTTTTTGTTTTTTAAATGCAGCCCAAGATCTATTATAAACAAACATGAGTTATTTTAAATACTTACGAAAATCTGTATTTATCTCCACTGAGCAGTTTTTTTGAAAAGACATTTTGCAAGCTGAAAAAAAATTAAAAATACCTGTAGATTTTAGACATAACAACTGAAACCGTGAGAAAGACAGTCTTTCATTTTGAATTCTGTTTTCTTCCTAATACTTTAAAGATTTAAACAAAGAATTTTAAAGGATGATTCATAAACATATTCTGGAAAAAAAATATAGTAAACACATTTACTAATTTAATGTACTTATCTATAAAATAATTATTCTGTAGTATAGTCTTTTGCCTTTTTTTTTTAAAAAAAACTTTCAAGGCTCATGTGACTTTCTTTCCAAGTGACAGTATTTTGTGTTCATCTTTGAACCTGCACCAACCTGCTCTGTATACTTGATGTAAATATTGCTATACTGCATGTGAAAAATGATGATTTAATTTCTTCACAGCCACTAACTTTCAGAACCATCTTGCCTTTGCTCTAAGCTCAGACAATTTACTAACAAACAAAATTCCTCTAGTCCACACACGTGCCCTTCGTTATGCCTTACCAGTCCATGATATTAGTAGACAAAGCTGCTGAGAAACCCAGAATGTTGAAACTGATTTCCGTAGCTGTACACAGAGCTAGCCCGCCCATAACAGGGATGAGAGAGAGATTAACCAGCAATCCTGCAAATGAAAAGCAACTTTAAAACCTGTGTTTAATTATTGTCCTTCCAAACTTTCAATTCCATCTTAACCTCTTTGGTTAAAAGGACACAAACAAACAATTTATTTGAGAAGTTGTAAGTCAGAGCTCAAATAGTAACAATGTGCTCTGGAAAACAATATGGAAATATGGAATACTGACTGCTGAGAAAAACAATTAGGAGCAGGAAAATAGACTAGTGCCCATTTTCATTTCATCTTTGTCAAAAGATAATACTATTCACCCTGCTTGCTCTCTAATTGGACTAGTCTTCCTTTGGCACTACGTGCAATGATCACAATTTAATGGTGAAGTACTTACCAGTGTATTCCCCCAATATCATTCGAGACATAATAACAGTAAAAATAGGTGCGGAGCTTTTAACTGTTTCTGCAAATGAAACGGCCACATTTTTCAAGCTGACAAGTCCTAATACTACTGTTGCAAATCTGTAAGAGAGAACATATTAATCTAAGCAGAGAATGAAATAAGCTTAAACATCTACTTTTAGACATTCAGCCTGCGCTGTAATTTATCTAGTAATATATAAAATTGAGATACGGTAACCAAAAATAGGCATGCTGAACATTTACTCATACTTAAAGCCATGAAATTAATCAGCAAAGCTGCACAGTTATTAAGATAACAGCACCCCTATTAGTTCAGAACAGATTTATCCTATATAATTTTTGCAGTGTATCAAACCATATATTCTTTCCTACATCACAGACTGATGCCAGCCCAACACACAACAAATATTTACTTTTAAAAGGCATCACATATTAACAATTTGTGTCATCTTTGAGGCAAACTGCTAGAAAAGGTGACAGAACAAAGCACTATCATAACACAGGAGATTATACTAAACTAATGTCAGTCTCAAAGACAGCAAGAAATAACAGCAAGTGAAAAGATGATGTTAGAAACTGCAGTATGTCTTAAAGGAGGCTAACTGTGATGGAATGCTAAATTAGCCTCAAAAATAGCATCTCATTGGGAAAAATATAGAATCATCCTATGATTCTTGCTGGAAGAAAAGATGAACACTTTTAAACACTTTCAAATCTTCATATAAAATCAAGAAAGAAAAGGAAGAGATCCATGGAAATGTAGGTACTGTACAGAAGAACATCATGAATTAAGCAGAGTTTTGGAAAAAAAAACATTTACCTCATTAATCCAACAAACAGCATTATCATAATGAAATTTGGTGGATACGAGATGCGTGTTTTGTGCTGGTACAAGCAGCATGGAACAAACATTTTAATACAGCCAATGAAGGTGGTTGAAAGCATTTGAACAGCACCTAAAAAAGATGGGAAAACAAATCATAAGATGATGAAAACAAGAAGAATCAAGCACCATGAGAATCTATAGCATTCCTGGTTACTAAGAAACATGGCAACTACTACTTAAATTACATGAATTTTCACAAACATCCTTTTACATCTACAAACACTTGCATTTCTACAAATCAGTTAATCTTAACAATGCTGGAGACTAACAACAATTTCAATTAAGACTTGATTTTCTTAAAAGCTAGACTACGGGGACAAGGGGAGGAAGGGACAGTGTCAGAATCCCCTTTACAGACAAAGGTTTCAAGCTCCCAGGTCCGAGATCTACCCCCAACATCATCTAGAAAAATTTTTTTCACTTTAGATGAACCATTTACTCCCACAGCTTTAGGTCTGGTATTGTCAAATATCTCACTGTAATTCAAGCAAGGTAGGGTTACCTAGCATGCTGGGCTCTCCTTCCAGTAATGAAAGGATATATTTGTTAAGAAAAAGAGTGCAAAAGCTGAAGAAAAACCACAAAGTGAGGTAGATGAGAGCATGAGAATTCCAGATTCCCAAGTCTGATTCAATGACTGTAGTCTCTGTGATAGTTATTTTCAGGACATTCTCCTCAGGGACACTATCACTTCTAGCAATTACAAATTTTTCAGTCCTGTTAGCAAAAAACGAGCCCAACTGAAATAATGCTTTCTCCTTTGGCTTTTCTTCAAGGAGGGGAGGATTAGGTTCCTCCAGTGTCTGAGTACTTGCTATTGTTGACATGCTGACTTTAAGAAATTAGCATTTGTCCTTAACATAAAGCAATATTAAGTACACAGTGACACTTCAAGGAAACAAAAATATGCGAGTAATCTTTCATCTCCAATGGCCTGGAAAAGTGTATTTGGTCCTCCAAATAAGATCTTGCAAAAAAACAAACTTTGGCTGCTTCTTCATGTGGTCTATTCCACTTTTTCTTCCTGAGAATAAAAAAAGAAAACATTTAAGCATTTCCCATTATAATTAATTCTTCTGCAAGATTCTACAATCATCTTTGTTTCAGTCTCCTCATAACCATTACAGAAAAATCTTCATAACTCAGAAACGTAGCCAGAAATATATTACCGTCTTACTATCCACACACGTTTAACCCCTGCTGTCCTGGTAACTAGGTGAACCACTGAACAAAGTGGGAAAACATCTAAGTTTTAGATACAGACTTGTTCTCTATTTCATTACTTTTAAACAACGCAGTGTTACCTACTTTGCTACTGTAGTCAAAAAAGGCAGCACAAGATCTTTTGCCAAGAGGACTGCCCTCTTATTTATGTGAATTTGGTGGGTTACAGTAGTACAGTCCAGAGAGCAACAAAAACACACCCCAACCTTTACTCTCCTGAAGCGATGTAATGTTAAATCATAACGTTAACAGATTCAAAGTCCATACTGGGAGAGAAGATAATTGCACTGAGCAGTTTATCTGTAACATTAAGACCTACAATTGCATTTATTGCTTTCATTTTGAAGCCTGTGTTTCAGGAGAAAAAGGAAACAGAATATGACAGATGAGCAAGAAATGACTGACAGGACCTTTTTTGCTCTGTGATGAACGAGCACAAGGGGAAGTGAGGTTATTATTTATAATCACATTTGTTGGATGGAGGAAACAGTGAATCTTACGGAGTTAAAAAGTCATTCTCATTTTGAAAGTTAATCACAACCATTTAGGCAAAGCTGTGTGAAACGATACCACGACACTACAGTATACCAAACAGCCACAGAACAGGAAATGACAAGTGCCAAGCAAAAATATAGGAGTTTTAACAATGTTGTTTGTTATTATGTTATTTCCTTATCCCTTTCCACTATTTTCATAGCAAATCACCACGGCATACAGAGATACGATGACTACTGACACATTCAGATTAATGCATATATTCAGTTTAAGAGAAAACAAATCAATTCAAGCTTGTTCAACATTATAAAACAATTAGCGTTATCACAACTTTGTTAATAATTAGTCTGTTTATACCGTTACTAATAAGACCAAAAGCAATTAAACACAACAAATTGCCCAGCCTCAGCAGCACAGATATATCATGTTTGCTCTCAGAGGCTCCACACACAGCAGCAAGCAAAACAGCAACTAAAACTTGGGTGATTAAGAACTAGGAAAAAAAAGCATGCCCCCAAATTACTGACCTGCTCTCTAAAATCAACTGGAAGGTCTTAAATTGACTGGAAGAGTTCTTCATCTGGGCCTAATTCAATCTTCTTCCTTTAAAAACAACCAGGAGTGGATGTTTGCAAATAGCTGAAAACGTGGCAGTGGATGGCAGACCGTTTCTGTTGGGTTACACCCATACGTTGCCTCTTCCAGCTCACAAGAATACAGGGCTTGCAGCGTGTTCTACACCCTTCTTTGTATCTTCGCTCATCTTTACTAGGTCAGAAATAAACAAAAAGTTGTAGTAAAGGTGAAAAAAAATACATAGCAAATATTTGATGAATTAAGGCTAATTAATGGTGAAAAACACACAAAAGCTTTGTGTGCATACCTCTTAATCTGTCACCCACACACAGCTCCTGCAGGCACGCGGGCACAGAAACCAGCACCCTGGATAAGCAGGGGATCACAGGAGCGTTTCATTATACGAGCATGAGGGCACCTAGGACATTTATAAACACAGCCTCAATACTTGGCAACTCCCCGGCGCTGAAGGAAGGTCTAAAGGGCAAAACGCGCCCTCGCACAGCGGCTGCCTGGCCGGTAACCGGCTCCTGAGGGCTGCACCTGGGGCAGGCGCCTCGGTTACCACGGGCGGCCGCAGCGCCTCAGGCCAGA